TCGGTGGCAGCCGCCGCCGCCGCATCCCGCGTGATGGAACTTGACATCGCGATAGTGAAGACAGAGACGCGTGGGCTACAAATGGAAATGCCTCAGTCGCCGTGGAGACAGAATTGTGGGCGTCTTGCCATTCAGGACGGAAAGGTCGTTCATTTGAGAGCTCGCAACATCTCGCACAACCACCTCCATTGTCCCCCCCCCACTGCCACCTAATCTCCTCTTTGTTCCCTCGTCCTCGTCTCTACTCTTCTGTTGTCATCAGCTCGCGTCTCTATCGGCTCAGCTGCGTCCCCGATCCTTTTGTCTGAAAGGCGAAAAGTTGAGGCCGCGCGATGGGTGCAGGGGATACGGGAAAGGCGCGAGAGATTGGTTCGATGCAGGGCTGATAACGCATGCAAGGCTGGGCGGAGGGGAGGGTGGCAGCAGCCTCTACCTCCTCCGCCGCCACCGCTCGTGGTAATGGCGTTTGTGTCGATGGGGCTTGGCTAATGGGTGATTTATGGCGGCACGGCTCCCGCAGATGCGCGCCCACGCACCAGCGAGCGGGCGGTGACCAGAAAACTTGAAGTAGCATTGATTGATGGATTCGTTAATTCGTTCAACGCGTACACATCGTCAGAAAAAGCGACGCACGAATTAGAGATGAGAGCATACACAGGTCAATGACATCGTGCAACAATGTTAAGAAAAGTTTAAGTGGGCAGGAATAATGTGCGCGTGTTGAACTTCTTTTGCGCCGTACGTAGCCAACCGCGCTAATCGGAGGTGTGGAGGAAGGACAACAAACTGAACACAAACAGCAGCTATACAGAAATTAGTTTTCAATGTAGATTTAGAAGTGCATAGCTCCAGTGGCTTCCTAATAATAATGGAATGGCAGCCAATAAAGGTAACGCATACGCGTAGGTGTTCACCAAGAAGGTGGAGAAATGAAATCAGCTCCGCGTGCAGGAAGTGGAGGTCGTTGCATTACAGGATCGTCAGAGATGGCGACAGATTGCGGAGGCATTTCTTCAACTTTGTTTTATTCATGCCTGACGATAATGAGAAATCGTCACGATTTTAATCACGGCATGACCATCCCTCACCATACTGCGATGACAGTCTCACTCCTGCAGAGGACTCATCTCATCGCTCCATCTCCTCGGTGGTCAGACTCTAGCGCGTGTTCTCTCCTTTGTCTAAAAATACCTTTTTTATTAACTTGTCATTTATTTAGATATTATATAAGTCCAACTTCATACCAATGAAGCTGCAACTTCATACATGCTCCCCTGTTCAGTTTCAGTAGTGTTTATTAGCACGGCAACAAGCGGCTTTGTATCCTGGCAAACGAATAAAGAACCGCTTTAGTACATTTTTTGCCACAGGCCAATTTCAGAAACCCTGGGATAAATCCTTAAATTTGACGGATGTGGGCCATGACACCCACACAGCGATTTGTGCTGGTGGCTTCCACTTCTATAGAACACTCCGCTTTGATAACTCCTCGCAGCCAGAGGCGGTGGGTCGTGGGATTCCCATTCTGCTGAATCTCTGCAAATTGTTGCATCAGTACTGTTGCAAACAATAAGCTCCTGGCACGGCCAGGCATTCAGCAACCGCCAAAGTAACATTGGGCACACAAATACATCGTGCAGCCCTTTTGTCCATCCACTGCTGGATGAGGGTCTCCCATAAGGGTCATAATGATTAAGGTGCCCCGGTGGTGATATATTATTTGCCTCGCCTGGTATACAGGCAGTGGGTTCGATTCCAACCTTGATGCCTCTATATTTAGAGTTTGCATGTCTTTTTCCACGTGGGCGTATGGATTTTCCTCCGGGTCCTCCGATTTTCCCTTTACGTTGAGAAACATGCGTTTAGAGTATTTGGCTGCTATAAATGTCCACATGATAAGCCACTTCGTTGATATATCATTTGTGGCCAGATTTTTTCTGGAAAAGAGCTCGAGATCAGTGGGCCTTAGCTGGTAAAAAAAGGTTTATTATTTTACTATATTTTCGGGATTGAGAAGGCAGGGAGCACCAAAATACAGCACCCCAATGGATTTGACTGCACTGCATTCTCCTACCAGTCGGCTCTGTGTGAAGTGGTCACCCACGCAAGCACCGTCGAGGCTCATAGCTGCTTAGCGTCTGAGATCTGACGAGATCGGGCGCATTGCAGATGATTTGGTCCACGAGTGCACACACATATCAAACCTTGCCCACGGCTAAATCGATGCCCTTGCTAGAGCTGACCCCTTCTGTATCAGCCAGGCGTTCTGACATTTTGTTGACAGCTCCCGGTCTGCTTGTTTCAGTGCTACTGATCGGTTGTATATAAAAAAACAATATACATTCCCTTCCTTTTCTATCCAAATAGATATCAAATAAGGGAACATTTTACGTCGTGTTTTTTTATGCATCCATTGCCCAATGGCTTTTGCTTGCTGTCTGTCACGGTTTTTTATACGTTTCTGAGCACAGGCCTAAAATGTAAAGTTGCCAGTAACAACGAGCACGATCGCAGTGATATAGAATATCGTTTTAATACTTTTAGAAAATTTAGGAAGCTCATATGAGCTTGGGGGGGAAATTAACAACGGGAGGAGAATTCCAAGGTGGAACAGTGCGATGAAAGAAGCAGAAATACACGTTTTGTGACCTGCAGTGCGGAGGTTGAGTGCGTGTGGATAACAATACAGTGAGTCTGGTATACCAAGTCCTCAATATGGGAGGTCAAATTAGGAGAGAAGTTAATGGGAAGAGTAAACCATGCTGATAGCGATGTAAAAGTGATACGGTGTTAACTGACCGCCGGTGAGCGAGTTTCTTGAGTTCATCAGTGAGTGCTGGAATCACTGAGTCAAACCACCCACGGCAATGTAGGTTCATTTTCATTGTAGTCACAGGGAAACATCCTCAACGTGTCAACACCATCTCGTATGTTCCTACAGATTAACCACAACCTTATTCCTGAACTCACATAGTAATAAGACCAAATAATAAAATGTCGATTATTTACCATTAAAGCTGCACTGAGTGTAGTACGACTCAAGTTTTGGAGAATACTGTATTGCAATATTTGGCCAAATTCATGAATCTTTGGAATGCGAAAGGAAACCAAAGTGCATTATCTGGAGCAAACCTCCACGAATGGGCGATTCAACATTGCCAACCCTATAGCCCGACGCCTATAACGCCTGGCAAGCCCTGCTGGTCACCCACCCATCCAAGAACTCCCCAGGTACCAACCTGCTGAGCTTCTGAGGTCCAACCAGATTGAGTGCGTTCAGGTTGATTTGGTTGCAGTGTACAGGGGAGAGATCCATGCACTTGAGTAGAGTCCCTAATGTATTTCTTAGATCGACCTGATGTATTCTGGAATGTTATAACATAATTTTAGAACATTAAAGTCAACACTTAGTAATCCCAGGGGATGGGGAAGAGGGGTGTACTCGTGAGATATGTCTTAACAAGTGGCGGCTTGTTGGAAGAAGGCGATGCAATGGGAGGGTGGACAGCGGTGTTCAGAGGAAAGGGTCAATTGACCCTCTTGAATTCTGAAATATTTTCTTGCACCGCCATCATATTTGCCTTTAATTTCAACTCCAAATCCCTCGTGTTTGTTTTGGCTCCGTTATCAAGGGATAGGGGAGTTTGAGCGGGCAGGCGCTGGGTGTCTCTGGAGAGGATGCCTTGTGCACACATGAGGGAAATGCCCTGTCCCCTGATGACAAAGTATTCGTACGCTACATCCAGCAGCCAGGTCGAAATTGCCAGCCATTACTGTGGCCCATAGGCTTTAGGCAGCTGATGGAGGAGCCAGGATCAGGATTGTCATCCTTGGGTTGAAGGTCCAAAATGCTGTGAGCTGAAATAAAAACAACTGTAATTTACAGCCCCTCGTCAATTGCATTTTGGGTGAATGGATCCACAAGTGTCGATCATGGGGGTTCTTTGACTGCCCCACCTTGGTGGGCAATGTTGATGGGGACCGGCAAAGCCAGGACCAGTTCAGATATCACACGTGGCCTGGAATCCAACTCGTGTAACCCATTTGAGAGCAGTCAGGTAACCACTGCACCACAGCTTCATCCTAGAAAGACGACGCATAATGGCTTCTTGTTAAATATAATGTATTCTGTTTAAAAAAAGTAAACTTTCATAATTGCACCGTCTGTCAAGGTCGTGAACCAATGCAGTAAAATCAGCAGCAACGCTCCTCGCTGATTTTCCAGTTTGCATTTCTATTCAAACGTGTTGGGTAAAAGGTTGGAAAATCAATTAAAATCAAAAACACACACACACACAAAGGAATATCCTGTATCTAATTAATAAATATCATGTTTAGGACCAGGGGCCAGTTTCCTTAAAGGTGAAGCGAAATGTGCCTCAGTTTCCCCTCACTAATCATTGGAAAACGAGGGAAATTATGACTTTAGGTATTGTGTGCTCACATTTAAACGTCCATAATTTAATTTGCGGACCGTGTCCCAGGCTGCGCTAGCATTAAGAAATGTGACCTGCATGATGATGAATGAGAAATACGATTTTAATTCATTATAACAGTGCAATAACCTCTCATATACTCAATGTAATGGGAACGCAGCGTGATGCCCCCGAGTGTGGAGGGAGCGGTGGCGCAATGGTCAGCGCACTGCGCTACGAACCCGGCCACCCGAGTTCGATACCCGCCCATGACCAATAATAGTGGCGGTCCTGGACCTCCCCTAGGTCGATTCAGCCTCCAATGAGTACCTTGCTTCGGTGTGTAAACATCGCCACCAGGGAGACAAAGGCGGCCGGGCGTGGTGCTGGCACTTGCCCCAACACTCTGTGAAGGCTACACGGGGGTTCTTTGGCGTGGGGAGGGGGAGGGGCTTCCCCCGCATTGCCCCGCCCCCCTCCTACGCGTTCCCTATGGCAACAGCGCCCCCTGGCGCGCGCCCCGCGTTTTGGCGCGAACGGCTGACGTCACACCGCGCGGCGTGACGTCACCAGCCCGGACGCGCTTCGACTCTGTTCGGGCGCGTCCGCCGCGCTTCGGGCGCCGCGCCGATGAATGCCGAAGCGCCTCGCAAATTCTCGAGAGGGATTTTTTTTCGCGACGCGAATCGCAGAGAGGGTAGCCGCGTGCCACGCGAAGAAATAATCCGGCGGCGTGGGTAATTTTTTGCGGCCGTCAAGGGTTCGGCGAATCCAGCGCCCATGGACTCGGACGGAGATGGCGATGGCGGCGTCATGGCGGACGAGCACGCGCATGCGCACTCGACGCATTTCCCAGGTGGGAGGGTTGGAGGGAAAGGTGGGGGACGAGGGGGGAGGGAGACGAGGGGGGAGGGAGACGTGGGGGAGGGAGACGTGGGGGAGGGAGACGAGGGGGGAGGGAGACGTGGGGGAGGGAGACGAGGGGGAGGGAGACGTGGGGGAGGGAGACGAGGGGGGAGGGAGACGTGGGGGGAGGGAGACGAGGGGGAGGGAGACGAGGGGGGAGGGAGACGTGGGGGGAGGGAGACGTGGGGGAGGGAGACGAGGGGGGAGGGAGACGTGGGGGAGGGAGACGGGGGGAGGGAGACGAGGGGGGGGGAGACGGGGGGGTGGGAGACGTGGGGGGAGGGAGACGAGGGGGGAGGGAGACGGGGGGGAGGGAGACGGGGGGTGGGAGACGTGGGGGGAGGGAGACGAGGGGGGGGGGGGAGACGAGGGGGGAGGGAGACGGGGGGGAGGGAGACGAGGGGGAGGGAGACGGGGGGTGGGAGACGTGGGGGAGGGAGACGTGGGGGAGGGAGACGAGGGGGGAGGGAGACGAGGGGGGAGGGAGACGTGGGGGAGGGAGACGTGGGGGAGGGAGACGAGGGGGGAGGGAGACGTGGGGGAGGGAGACGAGGGGGGAGGGAGACGTGGGGGAGGGAGACGAGGGGGGAGGGAGACGGGGGGAGGGAGACGAGGGGGAGGGAGACGAGGGGGGAGGGAGACGTGGGGGGAGGGAGACGTGGGGGAGGGAGACGAGGGGGGAGGGAGACGTGGGGGGAGGGAGAGGGGGGAGACGAGGGGGAGGGAGACGGGGGGAGGGAGACGGGGGCGGGTGGGAGACGTGGGGGGAGGGAGACGAGGGGGGAGGGAGACGAGGGGGGAGGGAGACGAGGGGGAGGGAGACGAGGGCGGGAGGAGCGGGGGAGGGAAACGTGGGGGGAGGGAGACGAGGGGGGAGGGAGACGTGGGGGGAGGGAGACGAGGGGGAGGAGACGTGGGGGGAGGGAGACGTGGGGGGAGGGAAACGTGGGGGGAGGGAGACGAGGGGGGAGGGAGACGTGGGGGGAAGGAGACGATGGGGAGGGAGACGTGGGGGGGAGGGAGACGTGGGGGAGGGAGACGGGGGAGAGGGGGAAGGGGGTTCTGGGAGGACGGGGAGGGGCGTGGGTTCACAGTGAGTCACAAGTGCCATAAATGTAACTGCAGGGAGTTTTGAACGATGAGTTATCCCAGCTCAGAGCATTCTGACAAGTTCAGTAGTTTTCTTCTGTACCTATAATGTTTTTTCCTTGTAAGGGGCGGTCCATAAATGACGTCACACACCTAGGGGGGGGGGGGGAGGGGGGTCAGACATTTGGGACGATGTGTGACGAGAGGGGGGAGGGGGTTTGAGAAATGTGATGTCACATCAAAATGCGCAACTTTAAATAAATATAAACAATAGAATTGCTATTATTCTTGGTTCTTTCGGTAAAGTTACGTAGAAAGAACCAAGAATATGAATCCCTGCAGTCACGAAAGTATTAAATCGAAATATAATTGTTATAACAACACTAATTGTGATTAATTTGCATTATTAACTATTTTTGTTATTTAAATGTACTGAGGTCACCTTTTATTATGGAGAAGCAAAATACTTCTTCATGGAAGAATGGAGAAGCATACATTTTGTACGTTTTTTGAATGATTGTTAGACATTTTGATTTTAATGATACTACCAGGGCTTTTCATTCTGTGGAATGAATATATGATTGTTATCATTGTACTCTCCATTTTGCTTCGTTCTACTACAATGTTTCAAGTATTTGTTTTATAGTTATAATAGCTTTTAATATTTTATAATTAAAAGAGAATTTCAATATAATATTCTGAACATCTGCAGTTTTAGTTAGACGTTGAATATTTTCAAGTGAATTTTATGCTAAATTTCATCTTTCCAACGCCTTTTTAATAAATGTTTTCTTCTACAACATCAGAGTGCAGCGCCACATTAAATACGCACTACAATGACAATAGTTTAAAGTGATTTGAAGCATGTTTCATTTTCAAAATAGAAATATCGTTTGGGGGGGGGGCAGAGCTTTGACAAGGGGGGTCAAAAATCCGTCAAAATCGCGTGACGTCATTTTTGGACGGCCCCCAACGCAGCAGCATCACCAACTAATTTGATTTTAAATGATCATCATTGGCCCCTTTTACCTTTCCCAATGACATGAAGTTACCCGATTGGGCGCACCTCAACTGCGCGAGGTTATATAGACGGTGAAGACGTTGAAGAAGGATAAGTAAACGCCAATGATAAATCTATTCTTAGTTGCAAAGCGCAGTCGTCAGGCTTCCACAACCCTCATCACTGTACCCTGAAAGAGGCGGGGCTTAAATAATAATGGCGGGGCACAACATTAGGGGCGTGGCCTAAATCAGAAGAGGGCGTGGCCTGAAAAGGAAAGGTGCACAGATCCTTTTGAGGAAGAAACTGGCTGTAAGTGGCCTCAATTCCAGAAATCTATTTCCCTAGTAAAGTCCATTGAGCTAAGAATCTGATTTTCAAGGGTGACTTGGCCAGCAGACAACATAAAAGCATTCCACAATAACAGATTAAAACAACCCTTAATGATAACAGGTTCCAAAACTCTGGGACAGCTATATAATATAATTTTGATTCAGGAATGCGGGCCTATAGAGAAAGGGTGGGACTCTGTAAGCAGCAGGCAGCATACTTGCAATACTGCCAGACGTGGCCACAGGCCAACTAGTTTAACTGCAGTGATTTAAGCAGCACCGTTGACATGAGTGCAAACAGTTCAAAAGGTGAATTCGGATGATATAATGTGGGTTCTCCAGAGCCATAATAATGTCCCCCAGCTGGTGTTGAAAGAGGTTTTGAGAGATTTATCCTTGATGTTACAGTAATTGTACTTGTCCATTGCTGGATGATGGCCTCATGTTGAGCGTCGTGGGGGGTGTTTGACCACAAAGTACCTAAGCAATGCCGCTGGTCAGTATGGTTTGGTGAAGGCGGAGAGTATACAATGACAGCAATATGAATTATTTTGCTGCACTCTGCCATCACAACCTACTGTCATTTATCTGTTATGAAATTCCATTGAATTTTGACTTAAAACTTTCGTGACTGCAGTAATTAATATTCTTGGTTCTTTCGGTAAAGTCACGTAGATAGAAAATAAAAATAAAAAAGAATAACATTTATTAACAATACAATTTATAAATAGAAATAATAAAAGCTAAATAAATTATTATACATGTTTTTTTTAATTTTCTATCTACGTGACTTTATCGAAATAACCAAGAATATGAAATGCCACTGGTTGCTGAAGCTTCTATGCCTGAGAAATTACACCTTTGTACCGAGGTGGCCACGCTTAAAAGTGGGTCGAAATGGGATGCGAGGTGGGAGATACTGGGAAGATTGCTTTGGACTGTCGTCGTTGAGCGTTAAGGTGGGCTACATTTATGTCGTCAGCAGGTGGCATCCAAAACTACCACAAGACAGTTATGACAAGGCGGGTTGAAAACCTTATAGCATGGCCATTGTATTTTTACTTCAGACCATGTATTATTCAAAATAAAAAAAATGGGTTATGGCTATAATGGGTCCTAACTTGGCTATCACAGTTTGATTCATGATTGTGAATAATATCAGTGGCACGCGATATCTGAACCTGTCCTGAGTGTCCCCTTCACCAAACAGCTTTGACCAGCGTGATGAAGTACATAACACAAAACCCCGTGACCCACAGTGTGGGGAGGGCTTCACCCTGAAGTAGATTGACAAAGGGCGGATAGTTATGGCTTCTATGCGGGTGAGGGGTAGTTCCAACAAAGGTAACACAAACCTGAAAGCAGGTCAGTGCTGGTTCCCATTTATTATTATTACGTTGAAGGGTTGCTGTGATATCATTTTTTTGGCAATAAGTGATATGGAATTTAATGATATGATGATTATAGTGATATTGTGTTAATTTGGGTTTGTGTGCTTTGCTGTACTTTTTATACAAATAAAGATTACTTGAAAACATCTTCAACTGCAGTTCACTCAAGAAGAGCCTTCCATAGGTCTTCTGATCATTTCAACATTACAATCAATAATGCATATTCTGTCAGCTGCACAAAAGTTATTGAACAAATAAATGAGCTACAAAAATGATGACATTGTATATTTTCGATGCCATAAATTACCCCAAAAAATGTGAGCAAAGAACTAATTTAATTGATAATTTAATCATTCATATTCAACTTTAATTTTCGAGTTTGGTGTTAAAAAAATGTGACGTCAGGAAATTAAACATACCAGTCAACCCATACGGTTTAGCCATATTCTCGTACAGGAAAATTTCCAGGTCCATATGGCGTATAGCCGTTTCAATACAGGCAAAAAAACAATGCGTGTATTTGTTTCTCCCTTTGTAGGATGAACGTTGAGATTTATAAGGGCACAGGGTGACCAATAAGGTCTGAATTGGTCTGTAATAAGGTAGGCACTGATAAGGGGTTGACAGGTATGATCAAATATCTCATACAAATAAAACGACCAGAATTAATTGCAATGTAACGATATTTTGGATAATGGGCAGTGCAATTATCATGCTTCTTACAGTTCATCGCACGATACATCATGGCATTGCCACATTGCGGGAAGCTTACTAAGTTCCTACCTATATAACCTCTTGCCACGGCACTCTCTCGCCTACTTCAGCATTTTTCTTGCTGTGGTTGTTCCACCTGATGAAGATTGCTTGTGTTGCGATCGAAACGTCATGATTTATTTTATTTTATTTCTACCTACGTGACTTTACCGAAAGAAGCAAAGAGTATGGATTCCCGCAGTCACGAAAGCTTCAAATCAAGATTAAGCTTACTAAGTTGTCGCACTAACGAGCACTGCTTTCTCCCGCTTGCACAGAGGGCTCAGTGAGCGTGGCCAGTGTCGCGATGCCTTCGGACCACGTCTTCACTTCGGCCGTGTCGGCGGTGTCTGACCACATCCTGGTGGGTATTAAACTATTTACGTCAGCGCTGACCCACGCCCCACTTCGGCATCAATGACGCGTACATGTTCGACGCGTACATGTTTGGTCCCCGTTGTCAATAAATGGGATGTCCTACACAAACTATATTGTTGTTCATGAGGATAAAAGGACATTCAAGGTTCTGTCAAACACGCCACCACAGCGCTTGATAATTAATTTACCTCCGTTGACGAGCACCTTTCGGGAACAAAAGTGGGGTATTACCGTACCGTGGAATGAAACTCGGCACACGATTACGCAACCCGCGACGCAGCGCACGTTTGACCCTGGCGCTTGATAGGCGCAGCCTTGGTGAGCTGCGGTATACAACGATAGAACGCAGCAGGTCATGTCACAGACTTTAACTAAATTTAAGACGAGATTGTTAAAACTTATTTCATAACCTCAAGCATCAACACAAAGGGAATATAGTGTATTGTTTGACTTGCAGTGTTTATATTTGCTGAACAATGGTGAATAGTAATAGAAATACAGACACGTTGGGCACTTGCATACGATATGGAAATTGGTCTCCCAAATACAATACTTTTGACATGCAGTAGTTACATGCTTGTACTGTATATCATAATCATCATCATCCATAATTATATATCTGCTGCTGGATGATGGTCTCTCCAAGCCAGCACCGACCCTCATGGTTTCGCGATGCAACAATCCTTCTGGCTCCTGGTACGCGTGCTCATTTCATCACTCAGTCTCTGCGGGGGATGATTTCTCAGGCGCGCTCCACTTACTTTACGTAACAGTCAGTACGATGTCGCTACAATGCCTCTCTAATCCGTGTGTTCCCAAATTATTTTATTTAAGTGGCCGCCACTCTTTGCTTCTGCGTGTGGTTTTCACAAACGTTGTAATACGCAAAGACGGGAAGACTTAGAGGCAGAAGGAGTGACAAGGAAACAGAGTGAAATAGGACAAAAGGAGAGAGAGACATAGGGTGATGGAGAGAAGCAGACATATATACAGTGAGACACAAAGAGACAGAGAGAGACAGGGGAAGACAGAAGGGCAGAGGCACATTCACAGACATGGATACAGAGAGATAGACAGATGGAGACAGGGAGGCTGATGTTCATGATATGGAAAGAGACTTTCCAATTTCTGGAAAAAATACGTAAAAATACATACTGCTCGGCTTCCATTTTTGAGTGTTATGTGGTGCATCCTGTTTAAAAGACATTTTCAATGAATCAAGTGCTTCGTTTTCATAATCAGACATGGCTCTCGAATTATAGTCAAGAACGCTAACAATGTTCTATTTAAGAGAATGCAGCGAGGGGATAATGAAAAGTGATTACTTAATTGTTCTTGTGTCGCCACTGCATTAATGACCTTTTAGTTAATTGGAACACATACTTGACAAATGCATTGCTCTTTAAAATTTAAACAAGACTGATATGCAGAAAATGTAACTCTGCAATGCTCAGGTCGGGGCTCAGTGGGTCAGCAGGCAGGGTCAGCAGGTTAATCTGATGCTGTGGCCGCTGGTCACACGCAGCAGCAACGGCGCCGTAAACACTCACAAGTTACTCACTCTAACGCCGCGTGCGCAGCAGTTAATTCCAAGTTATTTCCGCTGTCACTTTCCCCCTGCGACCCTAATGGACGTTGGGTCTGGCTGTAAACGGCCGTGCACTGTGAGCGGCTTGTGGTGGGTGCCCTCAGGTGCTCGGACTAATGGGGGTAGAAACTGCAGCGCATGGACTTTCTGGCGACAATATGGAGGGTGCTTACACGTTTGACCTTTGTACAGGCTTTTAAGTGTGTTTGTGTGTGCTGGGTGTATAACGGAATGTAATTTAAAAATGGTAAGGGCCAACACACAGTCCCGTGCTATCGCGCTGGCCAGAATGCCCAGGACAGAATGAAGTGTTTGCCATTACTCACACTTTGCCTCACCACGACACGTACGTTACGCTAATTGACTTGCTGCAGCATGACTTACTGTCACCGCGAGTCAACAGTTGGTGTGCAACGTGGGGAGACTTGACTGACACTTTAGCTCGGGTTGTTAAACAAGAACCACTAACCGGTTTTAGTATTTGTTACCTGGTGCCAATAAGGTACCGATATCCGATCGCAGTGGAATTTGAGTCACAAACGCGCCGAGTGGCCTGCACGAACGTGCAAACGGCATCGCGGCCTTGGTCACTCCATGGTGCATTTGATCCGTTTCTCAGAAGGGCATCCACTAGGCAGGTTATGTGGTCTACTCTTCCACACATACTAGACATCTTGGAATAGGTGGGTGTACCCACACTTTGCCCCACCATACGCGACCTGCCAGTCGTAGACTAACTGTGGTGTACTTAGCTACATTGCTGGGTGGACAAATATTCAACTGACGCACCAGGAGGTGGAATGGAGTTATAAAAGGTTAATAGGTTGTGTTTGTTGATAAACGTTTATATATTTGCAGCAAACCAGCACTTTACTTGCTTCTTATGCGGGATCTCGGAAATACATTTTAAAAAATCAGTTAATTATAGCAGCTTGACCACTGATGACACCCAATACTTCAGGTCCGTGCTGTAATAAAATTTGGCCACCCACATAAACGACAAGATGTTATTGTGGTCCAGAAACTAACAAATACAAACCGAAACGATTCCTGTATTTACCACGAAGTTTGGTTAGGCCACTCCATGCAACACCAAGCAAGGGCCTCCACCCTGTTTGGTATTGAATCAACGAGTGGACGGGAGACAGGTTCCCCTCCTGTATTTGTCAGCATAGCCTTTAACCCCAAAACATTTCCTTGACGCTTGGCACATTACAGTACTCTGCTCATGGTCCACATCAGGAATGCATTTGTCACTGAATATTTTGTAGGTGGCTGGTAATAATACTGGGGTAGGCACATGCCTAGTAGTAGCCACAGCAATAAGCGAGAGGTATTCTGGATGTTCGAGGTGTGGAAATTAATCCCTGATCCAGATGTGCACGATAGGATTTATGTAACAGGCTTTTTGTGCCACTCCAAATCCGTGGTCTATTGCATGAAACTCACACCTCCATACTTGACCGTGGGCACAATACATTGGGGTTGGAGGTACTCGTTTGGTCTTCACACCCAGTTGCAACCTCCTTGCGTGAAGTACTGAAACCTGGACTCATCAGAGAAGAGTACAAGCTGATAGTATTGAAGGGTCTCGACAGACCGTGTCCTATGACCAAACATTTTAAAACCGTTAATTTATGTCATCAATAAATAATTCCCTGCTTGAGACACACTCCTTGTAGTCAAGTCAGTGGACATGACATTATAGCATTTATAGGCTCAAAGGCATTGCATGGGTGATGTTAACAAGTAACATTTCGAAGGTGCATGTGGACCTGCAGCGGAAGGCCCTCCAGATCGCTTTGTCGCAGCAGTGGCATTCTCCTGTGTGAACTTCGCGATGATTGTTGGCCACATAAGCACGAGAAATGCCACGATGTCTATCTGTGGTTAACTCGGGTCCACACTCGGAAAGTCCCGTGGCATGTTTTGAGATTAACAGTGAGAATATCACGAGCGCTGCCTTTTTTTCGGCGCGGTGATTGCGCCCGCTGGTTATCTGGCCATCCAGACGTGCGCGATGTGAGTGATAACACCTAAATATGAAAATTGCTGTCTGATACATTTATGTGGGTGGCCAAATTATTATGGCAGAGACCCGTATACATACACACGTGGAATATAAATACACAGCAACGTCCATTGTATTGTGAAGTGCACGGTTTGAAGGTCGGGGTTTGTAAAGGATGTTAATGTAATGGCAATGGTAGCTTATGAGTAAATAACCCTGAATTCGACGCATCTTCTTAGACCTCGAGAGCCAGGCAGGGTTTGGGCCTTGACGGTGTTTAGAATGGGCCACGGGTATAGATCTAAAACAGGTGTTGTTGTCTACCCGCCTTCGCAATTCCACATTAACCACCGTGATTATGGTCAAACAACGGCCACATCTTCCTTGCTCTGGCCATCCACATGGCCACCTACATCCCCTTGCTCGAATCCAGGATTTAAGACATCCACTTCTCTTCAGCCTATGCAGCACCGATTACAATGGTCCTCTTGTCTTATTACATAATTCATTTTCCCCATTGCCATGCTCCCTACCTAACTTTCCTCTTCATCTCAAAAATAATATCCCTCCTCTTCCACTCAATCTCATTTAGTGGCAGTATATGTCCGTATGCAGCTTCTTGAGATGCGGTCGCATTTAGATGCTGTATAAATTCAAAGTTCCATGCATTATGAGAGCACACCGTATCTCGGAAACCAATTGACTGATGCGAGCCATTCAACGTCTATCTGGCCTCTGGCGTGCCATCAGGCTGACGCGACATTACCATAACATATTCCACTTTAAGTGCACTTTAACAGAATCCATGTTGGTGGGGCCTAGCAGTGCCACGGAGAGGTTACTGCACGTCGATGTTGCGTATGCGTGTAATTAGTAAAGAGCCAGTTAAAATGTGTCACTCCTTTGCTGCTGGTAGAATGACGGTAGAAATTCAGTGCGGTTGGAATGCTTCTGAAGGCACCCACGCAATGCTCTATAACACGGCCTCCACTTGAATAACCACATATTGTATTTGTATAACGTGCACGTTGTATGTAGCTCATTTATATTGCATTGCAGACAAAATAATAAAAAATATGCATCACCCTTCGTTAAACCACACATTTTTAAGGCTTCTCCGTGCTGTGTCGGCCATAGGGGTTGTTTGACCATACTTCACCACGCTGGTTGGTGCGGGTTGGTGAAGGGGGCACCCAGAAAACCGGTTCAGATGTCACCACTGACGTTTGCCGTCGCCGGAAATCGCCGCTCCACTCCCCATTTTGTTTGATACAAATCCAAATATTTGTTTTGTCATTGTTCAGCAGGTGGTAGATTTACAGTGTCGCAGAACTTGCAGTCATGAGGCTCAGTGGATGGGGCTACGGGTGAATTAATCAGATCACCTTCAGGGTTCAATCAGCAGTCCCAACCAAAACTGCAGGGAGGACGTAGCGAATCTCCTCTGCAGAGAAGTAAGCAAACCTCAAAGTGTTGTGTGGGCAGTAACTGGATTCGTACGAATAAAAATCAACCTCATCACTTACGCCCACCCTTCAGGAACACTCCGCGCCTATAAAGAGACTTGAAGGCACGGTTCCGACTCTTAAAGTACAAAACAATTGGCGGGTCAGCTTTTATCTGTTCACTTCATCAATTGCCCGAGAGTATTTCATTTGATGTGGCCTTCATTGCTCCGCTTGTTAATTGTGTTCTTGAATTCGAATGCCCTCTCCATAACCGCAAGGCCACTGCCATTTGCAGTAGACCTTCAGCCATCGGTGGCATTTTAAAAACGCTGATGAATTTAAATATATCATCTGGAGTAAGTGAACGAATGTCCTCTTCGTCAGCCATTAGGCACTTTAAATGCAATTAGCTTCAGTGTAGTGATTAATTATTATTTTTACACGACTCGTGTGTGGGTTATTTATTTATTTACATAATTCTTAACTCGTTTTTGTTCTCTCTCCTGCACAGTCGTACCCGTGCAGAAATTGTCACTTTGTTCACATCCAAAGTCCCCACCGTCCTCCCCCCCCACCGGTAAAATCAATGCGGGAAATCTATCGCTACAATCATCGCATGCCACCACCCACCGAGCGCTCATCACGCCTCCCTCCCTCCGGTGGAGCACGAGCCCTCGGCACTGTCTCTGCGCTATCGCGGCGGTGCCAATCGCACGAGCAGTGGAGCCAATGGGTTAGTCGGTAAAACTAAAAAAAAAATTAGATGTGGGAATTCAAACCTGTCCGGATGAAACTTCGTGATGAAATTCGTGCCTTCCAACGATAGCCCCACGTGCTCACGGACGGCCGCACAGCGGATGTGTGGCGTGTCGGGGTGTGTGGCGTGTCGGGGTGTGTGGCGTGTCGGGGTGTGTGTGTATGTATGTATGTTGAACTTCTTTCGCACTGTACATAGCCAGCCATGCTAATCGGGGCAGCGCTGAGCTGGCTAAGATCTGGGAGTAAATCCAGGTTCCAGCCACCTGCGACGAAACCGGGGTTCCAAGTGCAGTGAGTTGATGGTCACGGACCAGTCACCAGTGACTAATGCACAGAACAAAACATCGTGCAAACTTTGGCTCTGCAATTTCATGGACCAAATACTAGCTCTTGAGAATTTAAAATATCTATTTGACTGCCATGCATTGAACATTCCTCTCGGTGGCCGAGTGCCTGGAAAAGTGCTTCCCCCGGCGGTAGCTCTGTGATATCTGCTTCCGTCGGCCGTTCTATGCCACTGGGGATTCCATAGCTCTGCGAGAGATCGTGACTTGACGCAGACCAGGATAAAATTGAGGGAAGAGGTTTGTAAAATGTTAAATATAACTAAATTAAATCAACAAATAATCTGTGCCCTGAGGAGGGCTGTGTTGATCTGTGCTTGCGGGTCTGGGTGCAGAACGGCCGCACCACCCTGCAGCTCGGAGACTCGCTGCCCCAGCAGAAGACGAGGCTGATAGTGGTGCACGCGGACGGCACCCTGGTGGAGACCACGAGCCTCAAGCCGCCCACCTCCGCCCTCGTCTCGGGTGGGTTCCCCGCCTCCAGCTCGCCACGGTGGCTAGGAGATGTTAACTACCTCGTCTGGTATGCAGGAGGTCGTCGGTTCGATTCCGACCCTGACACCTGTTTATTTGGGGTTTGCACGTCTCTCTCTCTCCCTGTGGTGGCGTGGATTTTTGTCCGGGTCCTCCACATTTATAAACATGCGTTTAGAGTATTCGGCTGCTATACATTTACACGTGATAAACCACTTTGTTGGGCTATCATTTGTGATAGCCAAGTCGCTTCTGAAAAAGAGCTACATAGGTCAGTGGACCTTACCTGGTAAAATAAACGATAGTTTACTTTAGTTTAACACCGCCGCGTCATCACACATCCTCCGCTGCCCACACAGTCTGAGCTCCTTTCCAAGCCACCCATTTTGTCGTCTTTCTACCCTTATTCGAGTCTAGGCTCGAGAAGGACCTGCACCATTCGTTTGTGTGTTATAATAATAACTATTTACCCCAAGAGAGCCACATTGAGTCTGAAGACTCTTTTTAAAGAAGGTCTTGCATTGTGATGTTTGGCCAACACAAGTTACACCATGATTGTGTGTTTTCACTATGGGAGGAAGCCGGGGAACCTGGAGGAACCCACGCAGACTAAAGAGAGAACGTATAAACTCCACACAGATCGACGCCCGGGTCGGGAGTTTAATTTATGCCGTTGTTGCTGTGACACACAAGTGTTATCACTGCACCATTGATGGAAAACAAATCATCTTAGTCGCTTAAATCCAGACCACAGACCGCAGAACGTAAACAGTCCCCGTCGGTCTGCGTCTCGCCAGGCTCCCAGCCCACCTCGGCCCCGCTGTCCCCCGAGCCCGAGAAGGATGGCACCAAGTACAGCTGGGACACGTCGGCCTACGAGAACGAGCTGCCCGTGCGCTGCCGTAACACCAGCGGCGTGCTTTACAAGAACCGCCTAGGCTCCGGTAACTATCGCCGTCATCACTTGCGATGCACGCCCGCGCCACAGCCCTTTCTGTCAATCCGCTGTTGCATGAGGATGACCTCCTTGTGCCGCGTGGGTCAAGGAGGTTATATTCTTAGGTTTTTTCGGTAAAGTCACGTGACTTTACCGAAAAAACCTAAGAATATGAATCCTTGCAGTCAGGAAAGCTTCAAATCTAGAATCAAGGAGGTTATTTTGACCGCACTTCGGCGTTGAACAAATGTTTGCGAGACTACCTTCGCAGCTGAGCGCATGGGTATATAACAAAAACGCGACGCATCCGTCAATAACGCCGCCCTATGTAAGAGGCGATATTCCGGTTAGTGGCCCTTGTTCGGAGCAGATGGATAGAGGGGCCAGAGAAATTGAGTGAATAATTATACACCATGGGGCTCTCATATAAATTAAGTTTCAAGAGTGTGAAGTCTTAAATCGCCACAAAGGATAATACAATTTGGTAAAGGTGTGGGGCGTAGATGCAGGAGCAAAGAAGTACAGTCTGACGCGACATTGTTACAACATCGCCACTGATCATCATCACCGTTAAAGCAGTCACCGTCCTCCTCCTGCTCTTGGTATCGATCTCACACCCTGTCCTGGCAGGCGGGCGAGGGAAATGCATCAAGCACGGCACCATGTGGTACACTCCCAGCGAGTTTGAGGCCATGTCTGGTCGCGCCAGCAGCAAGGACTGGAAGCGCAGCATCCGCTACGCCGGGCGTCCCCTACAATGCCTCATCCAGGTGGGTACGACTCGCTAGGCAAGGAGCCAGGCTGAGGCCTTCAGTTCCGTTCAGTTTTATTTGGACACAGGTAAGTAGCGTTCAGTAAAGAGGCTGCTTTGCAAAGGATATGTGTATAATACCTGAGGGGAGATTGTACCTCGTTAATAGCAAATAATAATACAGAACAATAATCATGAATAAACCGTGTTCAACATAAGGTTGGTGCTTCAACATTTGAAGGTATACAATCACGGGCAACGCTTTACAGAACATGTGGAACAATAAATAAATAAAATGCTGAGTTTGGCAGAGCATGGTAGACACACGTGCAAGTAAATGGGTATTTAAAATCAAGTATAAAATGCGAATAGGCCGGCGAGGGGAGCAATTTTGTCTGGAAACACGAAACGAGCTCGTTTCAATGAAAGGGAGCAGCAACAAAAAATGTTCTTTAACCCAAGAGTGATTTCACTCTTGGCACGTAGAGAAGCACGGGAGAGCAGCTTCTAAGGCAGCGCGAGGGTGGCTGGGGGTGAGACGCTCACGTTGGTAACTCACCGATTTTCTCTTGAGCACTGAGGATGACCGATGCCCAGCTGTCTCCGGATGTCGAGGGGAGATAAGTTGGTATTTACATACGAGTCGCAGTGGTGCGTTATTTCGGGGGCATCCAGTGGACAACGGAGAGCTGAGTGATACAAGGGGACCGGGCATTGAGGACCGTGTCCAAGGCTGATCTGTAGGTGACATCATGGTCGCACAAAATGGGGAGTGCGGTGGCCTTGACTGTGTCTCACGTTAGGGGAGGCGGGATGCAATGTTTGCTTCTTTGAGGAAGCCAATCTTATTTTTTTACACATTTTTGCGACTTATTCAATATGTGCTTGAAAATACATTTTAAAGTAAAAAATGACAACTATTTAAATTTGCTGCGAGTCTAGGGACATGATTTGCAATGGGGTGGAGATGGGTTTATATTTACTGGAAAACACCATCAATGTTGTTTTCTTACCGTGGAGTAGGAGCTTAGGGGCAGCTGGGTGATGTTGAACGCCATCGAAATCCTGCTGCAATTTGGAGTTGAGATCATCCAGAGATTTACTGGAGACAATGAGGGCCATTTCCTCCAGAAATAGGTTTATGTCCGAATGGGATAATGATTTGCCCAGGTTGTTTATATGAAGTGAGAACAAGATTAGACCTAGGACTGAGCCCCTGTGGATGTAGGAATATGCCATCTGCTGTGAAGTAGAGACACTCCAGGAATTGTCATCTTGTACTGTGAACGCTGAAATAGACAAGTGAACGAAACGTGAAAAGGGGTCTTGCTAGGGTTGCCACCTCTTAGGATCGTCTCATTTTGGAGGTAGCTGTCCTGAGAAATCTGGAAGTCTGCACTTGATGTGAAAAGGCACAGGTTGTGTCAGAATTTTGAAACCACACCTCTCAAGTTATTCCATTTACATGTAGTTATCGCCACTTATCTAGAATTGTGAGGTATTCTTCTTCCCATGATATGACCTGGTGTTTGGACTGGTGTCTGATTGTCTGTTTGGTTAGGGCTAGGGGTAAAGATAGTGTTTGGTTGGCTGATGTTGTTATGGTTAGCGTCATTGGGAAGGCTGACACTGGACAGCTGGAACATAGTTGTTTCCTGGCCTATAATTCCCGAAAATACCGCGGCACACCGGCAGCGAATCACTGTGTTTGAGGCTTTGAATTCGCGATTGAGACCAATTTTGCACCACCATGTACCATAACAAATGGGATAAATAATTTCAACACACTGCACGTATTAGCGATGAGGCAGGCACACCTGTGTCTGAGCACATGCGCTGGTATCTGGAGTCGCGTCACCGGTACAAATTATGACCAAGAGAGTGGGTGCAGTTAATCTTGTCCGGGGAAGGAAATTGCAACTGTTGCTTGCTCAGATATGGCTCGATGCACCGCTATCAGAAATTTAATAATAAAAGAAAACTCGCCTGCCTGAAAATAGGCTTGCGTTCGTCACCACTGCAGTCATTTTGCGGTGCGCCTGTTGCTGAACCGAGTTGGATCGAGTGGCGGGGAGATTGTGGCACTGCGCGGGTGCTTCACAAGGGCATGCACAGGGCAAGACCTGACACAGCTGGGCATCGAGGAAACGTCATGCTCCGGTGTCAACTGTGCTGCACAATAACTGTCTCTTAGACATTCAGTTGGCCTGCTACCTATCCACATAAAAATGGTGTTCCACAGCCCTTTGTCAACACACTGCTGGACGATGGTGTCCACACGCCGTGTCGATGGTGGGGACTGTTTGACCGAATTTCACTTTACTAGTTACTGCTGCCTGGTGAAGTGGGGCAGATCAACACTGGTTCTGATATCACTTGCCACTAATGCTAGCCGTGGGTTCATGGCTTACTGCACTAACCACTATGCCACCACTCCACCCACAAATCCAAATACCTGCCTACACGCTTGCTTGTGATCCAGAATACATACCAGCTCACATGGCTAATAATGATGATGATACCAGCCTCTATACCGCTTCCGCTTAAAATGTTAGCTTATGGCCTTTGCTGCATGGGTGCAAGAATTCTCCACACATCGTGGCCTCATAGCTCCGAAAAGTATTTGTGAGTATCCACTAGCAACCGTTTACATGAATTTGCCATTGGATTGCGAGATATTGAAACAGGATCAGCTGGCATTGGGCCGCTGCCCTCGATGCGCGTACGGCCGCTGATTTCTTGCACATAGCTGCAATGTCTGTTCCTTCGTCGCGCGTGGCTGGAACACGACGGGCGGTCGTGATGTGTGCGATGTCGTTATTTCGTGGGGTAGCGCTTGATGTGGTTTGCCTTGACATGCTTTGTCAGGGCTTTCAAGGCCAGTAAAACCATTATTCTTGGAGCAATTTAAAAATATTGCCAAAAAGACAGCGGCATATCGCGGAGTACGGCGTTTAGTGCTGGCTGTGCGATCACTGCCCATTAGCAAGCTTTGCAACTGCTCTGTGTGTGTTGGACCGGATTGGCCCTGACTCACAAATTGGACTAACCATGCTTAATTGTGAAGCTACCGATGGGCGTAGCCAATTATGAATGGCAATTACACGGAGCGATGATGGGGCCACCTGTGTTGATTTCAGCACTCTCACTCTGTTGCGATGATTGTGGGGTTATTGGCAGAGGAAGTGGCTTCACGTGTGCTCCTGCACACTGCTGCATGCATGCTAAGGTTTGTGTTACTTGAGGGATGTGGGCCATTTGAAGAATCGGTTGTTATTTTTCTTCTTGTTTTTACTGCCACGTGCATCGTTTTTCATTTGTACAGTCTCGTTTGTATTGTCTTGTTCGCCCCATGAGCATAAATGTGTAACGGGTTCCGGAGACACTTGTAGATGTAACTTCTTTATTACAATACAACACTCCAACAGTCCTGATACTCTGTTACAGCCTAGGTACACAGCCTAGCTACACAGCCTATATACTCTAGATACTCTACTCTGGCTACGCTCGCCCTCACAAGGTCGTAGAGTCGGGAGTTCCAGAGTCCCACCACTGGCTCTCACAGCAACCCAGGGTCTTCAGATGGCTGGTCGTGGGTCTTGGGTCTTGAGTTACAACTGGGCCCCGATCGTCCAGGGAGCTCCGCTTATATGCCCAGTCCCCAACGAGGGGTGGGGCCGTGTGCGCCCCCAGATATCCCACAGAGCACACACAGCCCTCCCCCCTTTGGTGGCGCCAAGGGGATTAAGCGCCTGGGAACTCAACGCCTGACGCCAAGGGGCTTAAGCGTCTGACCCGCCTGAGAACCCACGCCTGACGCCAAGGGGATTAAGCGTCTGGACTCGCCTGGGATCCCAGAGCCCCCAGCAGCCCCTCCCTTCTTATGTCACTACAAATGTAACATCCACACGTCATTTACACATGGTTTACATCCATTGCAAATGATCAACTCTTAGAATCTAGGTTCGATGCATGTGTAGTGACTGACTCAGAGACACTAAAAGTGGGAGGCACTCTGTTTATTAACGGCCTTAACAGTTCACACTTGGTAACTACAGTTCCCAGTCAGGACAGCTGGTAGACTGCCTGACTGGCGACGCCGAGATGGTGAAGACTCCAGCAACAACGCGACGGGGACCCCCCCACTCCACACGGCAGCCCCGAGGTCCCCTCCCGGGGACCCTCTTACACTGTCAGCGTGGCCTGGCTTCGTCCCGGCCACGGAAGGGGCACATCAAGTGGGTTCTCGGTGTGCCCCTTCCGTGACCTTTCCCCTACATCCCTCTCTGGTCTATCACGTGACCTGCTGTCAGTCAGGGCTGCTGTAGCTGCAGATCCTCTTCCCTGCCACCAACCAGTGCTATGCTGCTAAGTGACCGATTCTATGTCACTACACATGTATCATGAGAGTTATAATTCCTATTCATTGAAGGATTTGCGAATTTCCACGTGCCGAGTGAAGTGTCAGTTTCGTTGGTGACCTCTTACCGTCATCAAAAAGTTCAAGAGGTTCCGTGCTCACATCACTGCTGAGGCAATGGTGCTCATCTCCTGTTAACAGCCCTCAGCCTGTGATGGAAATTACACATTCCTATGCCGGGCATGGGGAGGGGGGGGGGGTATTCTCTCCAAAGGATATCGACCCTGCAAGGATGTGAACTCGCAACCTTCCCATTGCGAGCCTCTCGCTCTACTGCTGAACCACCCTTCCTGGGAAGTTGCTGTTGAAGAGGAGTCCGTTCTGTTGGTCCTCACTCCGCTTCCCAGTGGGTCCTTTACAACCTTGATGGCGTCTTATCCGAGCCGCCCATCGAGTGAATTTTCTCCTGATTGCCCGATCATCCAGGCAGCCTCCCGCATAGTTAATCGGTAGATCGCTCTGTCTCTTATTTCCCTCTTGGCCAACAATACATCAGGCTGCCTGCGATAACCACACCCTTGAGATGCAGATTAACCTAATTTGTGTGTAAAGAGCCATCCCGCTCGCGTGTAATACATTATGCTGCTGGGGAAACACGG